AAAAAAAACCCAAAACATCAAAAGATGCTCAACACCATTAGGGAAATACAAATCAAACCACAATGAAATCCCACTTTATGCCCACTAGGGTGGCTATAATACAAAAAAAAAAAAGAAAAAAGGAAGGAAGGAAGGAAGGAAGCAAGGAAGGAAGGAAAAGAAAAAGAAAAATAACAAGTGTTGGCGAGAATGTGGAGAAATTGGAACCCAATATATTGTGAGTTAGAACGTAAAATTCTGCAGCTGCTATAGAAAACCATTTGGCAGTTCCTCAAAAAGTTAAACATAGAGTTACATATGACTCAGCAAATCCACTCCAGGATATACCCAAGAACTGAAAATAGGTGTTCAAATAAAAACTTACAATGAATGTTCATAGCAACACTATTCAAAATAGCCCAAGGCTTCCCTGGTGGCACAGTGTTTAAGAATCCACCTGCCAATGCAGGGGACATGGGTACTATTCCTGGTCCGGGAAGATCCCACATGCAGCGGAGCAACTAAGCCCGTGTGCCACAACTACTGAGCCTGCGCTCTAGGGCCTGCGAGCCACAACTACTGAGCCCATGTGTCACAACTACTGAAGCCCGCGCTCTAGGGCCTGCGAGCCACAACTACTGAGCCCATGTGTCACAACTACTGAAGCCCGCGTGCCCTGGAGCCCGTGCTCTGCAACGAGAGAAGCCACTGCAATGAGAAGCCTGTACACCGCAATGAAGAGTAGCCCCTGCTCACCGCAACTAGAGAAAGCCGCATGCAGCAACGAAGACCCAATGCAGCCAAAAATAAATAAAATTAATTAATAAATAAAAAACAAAACAAAACAAAATAGCCCAAAGGTGGAAACAACTCAAGTGTCCATCAACTAAAGAATGGATAAACAAAATATAGCATATCCACACAATGGAATATTACACAACCATAAAAGGAATGAAATACTGGTAGATACTTCAATATGAAAGAACTTTGGAAACATTATGCTAAGTGAAAGAAGCCAAGCACAAAAGGCCACATATTATATGATTCTATTTATATGAATATACAGAATAGGCAAATACATAGAAAGCAGATTAGTGGTTGCCAGGGTGTGCTGGGAGGGGAAATGGGAAGTGATTGCTTAATGGGTATGGGGTTTCCTTTGGCGTAACAAAAACATTCTAGAACTAAATAGTGGCCATGGTTGCACAACAACGTGGATGTGCTAAAAGCCAGTGAATTATACACTTTAAAACAGTTAAAACTGTGAATTTTGTTATGTGAAATTGTCCTCAATAAAAATAAAATCTATTCCACTTCCACATAAAATAGTACCTGAAGATATTTTTATGTCTTGAGACTTTTCTCTTAGGAGTAGGAGGAACAAAGTCACTAACATTAGCTTTAGAGTTTACAAAACACTTTGCCATGCAATTTTATATAATCTTCACAACCCAGGAGATAGATATTATCCCCCCAATTTAGAGATAAGAAGAACTGAGGCTCAGAGAGGTATAAAGTCATATAGCCAGGAAGCATGAGAGCTGGCTAATCAAGCCAGATGGTCTAATTCCACTGTATTTACTGCTGCAAGGCAAACAGCTCCAACTTCTGATAAGCTTGAAAAAGGACAGGAGATGCCCTTATGTACAGGCATCTTGGGCAATTTTTCTTCCTCCAAAGTTAGTACTTTAATCAAAGCAGTAAAAACATTCATTGTACCCAAGTTAATAAAAGTTTTAACAAAAGCAATATAGATCATTATTGTATAAGAGCAGCATAAAGCTGCTACAGATTTCTTCTTCCAATTTTCTAAAGATATGAGTTTAAGTTTCTCAGTGTAAGATATGCTATAATGTTAGCATGTCCTCTCACCAATGTAGTTCAGCATGTTTACAGGGTGTGGCAATAAAGTAATGAGACAACTGTGCGTGTTCCTTACAACAACTGGCCTCATTAAGTCACAATCACATTCCTATTAAAGATTAATTAATGGGGCTTCCCTGGTGGCGCAGTGGTTGAGAGTCCGCCTGCCGATGCAGGGGACATGGGTTCGTGCCCCGGTCTGGGAAGATCTCACATGCCGCGGAGTGGCTGGGCCCGTGAGCCATGGCTGCTGAGCCTGCGCGTCTGGAGCTTGTGCTCCGCAACGGGAGAGGCCACAACAGTGAGATGCCCACGTACCGCAAAAGAAAAAAAAAAAAAAAAAAAAGATTAATGAATGAATGACACATCAGTGGTTTTCTAACACTCTGATGTGTCCTATAGATGTTCCTGAGAAAGCGGAGGGGTCAGGGTTACCAGCCCAAGAAGAGCATCCTCTTATTTTCTACACTGGGTTTTTCCTTAAGATACTGTTTGAAGAAAGGACTCCACAGCCTTTTAAAAAAGTACATACTGAAAACCACTGCAGTACATTATGCATCCTCACTTCTTCAGAGGTTTTCAGAAATCTCTGCAGATTAGCCAACAATATATAATTATTTCTAAATTCAAGCACAGAAATTCCAAGGGGTCTCTCTACATTTGGTTTATGATTTTTTGTATTTTCCAGGCTCAATTAAACCATCCTGATAAATCCCCATTTTATAGAGCAGGTACTATAAGCACACACTGAAAAACAAGTGACTTATCTCAGATGGCAGGGTGAAGCACGAGCAGGGTCCAGATATGAAGCCCCACCCCAGATGGCTCAGCCTGCTGGATGGTGCCTAGTTCAAAAAGCCTTGGTGCCATGAGGTCATTCCATGCACTATGACCTGAAGGTACAGATGTCTCTACTTGCGGTGCATGACAACACATGAGGTGGCTATAGGCCAGTAATGTCTGGAACAAGTGCCAGCTCAAGGGCAAAGATTAGTCTCTCTTCTGCCTATGCTCCATATTATCCCTTGGTTCCCTTGATGGAAAATCCTTTCCAGAAGCACCATATGGTATAGTAGAAATTATGAAATATGAAACAGAAGACTTGGGTTTAAATCCTGGCTCTATTAGTATCCCCCCTCCATGCCTGAACTCTCTGGGCCTCAGTTTGTTCATAGTACTTACATCATGGGCTATTAGGAGGGTTAAATGAGATAGTGTAGCAGTTCCCATCCTGTGGGCTATAGACCTCTGGGCATCTTTGGCCCTATTACAAGAGGTCTGAAAAAGCATACTAGAGAAAAAGAATCATTTAGGGATTAAGACTAAAAGCCCTGGAGTAAAATTGTCTTGGTTCAAATAATGGTTTTACCAACGGAGCAAGTTACTTAGCCTTTCTGCCTCAGTTCCTCATCTGTAATTGGAGAAAACAGTATTTATTGGGTTACTGTGAGGATTAAATGAGTTATATATGTAAAGTGCTTAGAACAGTGACTGGCATAGTATAAATTCAATAAATGTTAGCTATTGTTACTACTATATGTGTTTACGTATTCTTTCAAAGTACAACTATTATCACATGGATGTTTGCCAAGTTTTTTATGTTAAAAAAGGGTTATACTTGAAAAGGTTAAATACTTCTAAGATAATAGTTGTAAAAGAATCCAGTATACTACCTGCCGTGTCCTAATCCAGAGTAGTTGCATCTATGATTTTAATGTTTTTTAATTTACTGAAGCTTATTTTGTGGTCCAACATATAGTCTATCCTGGAGAATGGGCCATGTGTACTTGAGAAGAACATGTATTCTGCTGTTGTTGGGTGGAGTATGCTGTATATGTCTGTTAGGTCTAATTGGTTTATAATGTTGTTCAAGTCCTCTTTTACCTGTTGATCTACCTGGTTATTCCATCCATTATTGAAAGTGGGGTACTGAACTCTCCAACTATTATTGTAGAACCATCTGTTTCTTCCTTCAATTTTGTCAATTTTTGCTTCACATATTTGGGGGTTCCTTTGTTAGGTACACATATGTTTATAACTGTTACATCTTCTGGCTGTAATGAACCTTTTATCAATACGTAATGTCCTTCTTTATCTCATGTAACCTTTTTTGATTTAAAGGCTATTTTGTCTGACATTTCAGAGCCACCAGCTCTTTCTTGGTTATCATTTGCATGAAATATCTTTTTCCATCCTTTTACTTTTTTTAAAAAAAATATTTATTTATTTATTTATCTTTGGCTGCATTGGGTCTTTGTTGCTGTTTGCAGGCTTTCTCTATTTGCAGTGAGTGGGGGCTACTCTTCGTTGTGGTGGCTTCTCTTGTTGCGGAGCATGGGCTCTAGGCGTGCGGGCTTCAGTAGTTGTGGCTCGCGGGCTCAGTAGTTGGGGCGCATGGGCTTAGTGGGATCTTCCCAGACCAGGGGTCAAACCCATGTCCCCTGCACTGCCAGGCAGATTCTTAACCACTGCACCACCAGCAAAGCCCCATCCTTTTACTTTTATCTCTTGTTTCTTTATATCTAAAGTGAGTATCTTATAGACAGTATAAACATGGATAATGTGGTTTTTTAAATCAATGTAACAATCTCTGCTTTTTAATAGGAGAATTTAATCCATTTACATTTAAAGTGATTACTAATAAGGAAGGATTTACTTCTGCCATTTAGCTGTATGTTTTCTGTACATTTTATGTTTTTGTTCCTTATTTCCTCTATAACTGCCTTTTTAGGTCTCTCTAACTCTGACCCTGCCTTCTTACCACTTGTTACATTGCCTCCTCTTTATTACTGCATTTTCAAAATATTAATCTAAAGATTCATTGGAGGCTTGGTCTTCCCAATCAAGTGATCATCTCTCCCTCCATTTGAATAGTTCCTAATGAACAGCTCCTTCATGAATCTATCCCAAAATGTTAAAAGGAAGGATCTACTTTTTCTGGCTATGAAAGTACATTCAGGTTCTTTCCCAGTTTTCACAATCTGAATCGCCTGTCCCTTAAACACACACCCAACATACACTATTCACCATTCACACATACAGTTTAGTATTATTATCTATTCCTTGCCTACATGTGGCCTGGGTTAGGTGGGACCCTAGAATACTTAAGAAGGGTCTCTTGATGACTGGCAAACAAAAAAATGAGCAAAGTGGCTTACATTGTAGGAGCGGGGGTGCCTCTGTTTCCACTGTACCAGGAGCAGCTGGGCCACCACCAAGGTAGCGATGAGGATGAGGACCATTTCAGCGTGCATGGCTTCGTGGCCGCGGTGCTTGGCATGCATGCGTGCGTGCTCGACCCTGAAAGCCAAACAGATGGGGTGAGCTAGGTCAGGGATGGTGTGGCGGTAAAGGAGCAGTGCTTTCCAGGGATATCTCACTGGTCCATAGCATAGAACACACTCTTGTACTGTACGAAATTTGGGCTAGAAACACACATGCCCTAGAGGACAGGCATTTTGGAATAGAACAGGGGTTTTATGGGCCCTAGTCACCAAGGTTAAGTATTGGGGTTAAAGGTGGGTGGTCTGCTGCCCAGCCCCAATGTTAAAAACAGCTGATACCTTTCCATTTCAGTCCTATTTCAACCTGTCACTGGAAGAAGAAAGTAACCCAGAGAGGTCACAGCCATAAAGGCTCATACTCTTATTCAATGATATTTATGATACCAATAAAGGAGTAATATTGCAAATATGTGCAAATTCCAGGGTTAAAGTCTGGCTTTATTTGTCCTACCCTCTCTGCCAGGACCAGAGATCCCAAAGATTAAAGCCTGAAAAATCTGAACTTCAGTAGTGCTTCAATTTTACACTATTCCAACAGTGACTTCATTATCAGTATCCACCACAGGTAAATAGACTCTTCAAGGGCTCAAGGAGAGTACAACTGGAAACTCTTATTTAATCTAAGAGTTTAAAGGCTGGCATTCTCTGGTCCCGAGGACTGGCAACAAGTGATTCCCTTGGCCAGTATAGGCAAAAAGCTTCCTCTGAGAACAGGAAAGAAAAGTCACTCCTACAGCCAAGGGAGAGGAATAAAGAAGGAATTAGGAAACTAAGTACAAATGTAACCCGTAGTCAGGAGCTTTTGTGCAAGTTCTCCATACCCAGGGGTATTAGGGAGAAAGGGAAAGGACAACATAAATGGTATCTTCATGGAATTCCCAAGGGCAATGAGAGACTAAGCAAGAAGAACCCAGTGGGATGCATTATGGATAGACAAATCATAAAATATAGCAAAAAGTTAGTTGTACAATCTAGGTGGTGGGTACAAGGGTGTTCACTGTACAATTCTTTCAACTTTTCTGTATATTTGAGATTTTTCATAATAAAATGTTAGGAGGGGGGAAACTTGGTGGGCAGCCAAATGTCAGTCAGCCTGGCAGTCACAGCACCTAAGGGTTCACCTTACATAAAACTTAATCCTAGGTGACAGAATCTGACAAAATATAATAGGGGTAGGAGTCAGAAACTTAGGTTCAGACACAACCTATGTGGCCTTAGCAAAGAAAATTTACATCTCTACATCACAATTTCTTCATCCATCAAAAGGAGTCCTTATCTTTTCTGCCTCCCTCATAGGGTTGTTGTGAGGATAAGCTAAACTAAAAGGGCAAAGGATATTTTAAAATCCCAAGGATTGTGGGGAGTTATAAAGATAATAAGAGATAAGTTTCTTGTTCTCAGACAGTATATAACTGAATGGATGTGTACAACAAGAAATCAAAGAAAGGACTGAGAAAACACCAGAAGTCACCTAGCTCAAGTTACCACTCAATGCAAAAATTATTTTTGCAATCATTTGTTTGAATACCTCCACTGGCTGAGAATACATGCCTCTTAAAATAATCTATTCTAGAACCAGCAGTGTCTGACACATTGTAGGAACTCATATGTGCTTATGAAGGAATAAAATTCCAAAGCTTTAAGAAGCAGGAAGCTCTGTGCCTCACAATATACCACGATTATTAACAATGTTTCTGATAATGAGACTAAATTACCTTACTACAGCTTCAATCCTTTGGACCTAATCCTACACTCTGGAACATATCCACTCTCTCTTTCCCAATGCTGCCCCTTCAAATATTTATCATACTATTATTAAAAAAAAAAAAAAAACCAATCCTGTTTCTACCATCATTTTCCTGGGCCCTTTTAGGTTAACAGTTCTAGATCTTTATACACGATGCATATAACATAATGTGAAGACCATTAATCCTGATTGCCTTCTTCTAGACATATCTAGCTAAAGATCTTCATATGCAGTGTTTACAACAAAATCAATGTGGACTCAGCAAAGCAGAACACAGTAGCACTGTCACTTCCCTTAAAGCAGATAGTATATTTTTAATGAACATCTTCGCAAACTGTATTTTGGTAGCTTAGGTACACAACTGGTGCATATTAAGCTTAAAGTCACCTAAAATCTTGCTGGGCCTGTCATATGAGTTGATATCTTTGCCATTCTACATTTTTTATAATCAATAGTTTTAATCTAAACGAGGTGTTTTTTTCTCACTATTAAACTTTTACTTGGTTGATTTCAGCTCACTGGTCAGTTACCTTATAAAGTTTGTGGGGCAAGCACTTTTGAAACTCCTCTACCAATGAGAAATAATGACAATGAAATATTTGTTGACTCACTCTGGTTACAAAGCAAGTTAGTAGCAGAGTTGAGATCAGAAGACACATCTCGCATTTTCTCAAACAGCGCTCTCTGCCCTGTTTCATGGATCATGATGATGTTAATGATGATAATCATCCTTAAAGCAGGTAACACTTACTGGAAGTTTACCACATGCCAGGCACTGTTCTAAGAATTTCATACATGTTGATCTTCACAACAACTGTTATGATCCTCATTTTACAAATTGGGAAAACTAAGGTAGTGTGAAGTTAAGTAACTTGCCCAAGATCACATTGCTAGGAAATAGCAGAACTAGTATTCAAAACCCAGATGGGTGGTTTGGTGCAATAATCTATTTACTCCCAAGGACCGAGGGAGCTACCCAGGAGTGACCCAAATACTGGGAAAGATCTCAAATGACCTGTCCTATTGGTCATAGGTCACTGCCTGCCACAGAAAAGGAAGCAAAAAGGGTAGATATACAACTCTATTAGTAGGATTAATCTATAGTTCCCACCAAGAGGGGCCCACACTGTCACACTTACCTCCATTGCTCCTCTGGAGAGAGGTCTGACATATCAACCTGTAGAAAGACACCACCATAAAAATCCATTACTGTCTTAGAACTGTCCCTGCCCAACATACAATGATCGCACACTGCTAGAGCTAAAAGTATGAATTAGGATTTGTGGGACATGAAGCTAGATAAAATATTCTGTCATATAATACCATTTGACTCTAAATGGCCCCATTAGACTAGGGTGAACTAAGCTTAAGTTTGTGCCCAGTGCCTTGTTTGCTTCACCCTAGTCCAAGTCCTTGCTCTGCTATTAAGTAGCAGTGTAATATATACAGAATCTAAAAACAAACAAACAAACAAACAAAAATGGTTCTGAAGAACCTAGGGGCAGGACAGGAATAAAGACGCAGACGTAGAGAATGGACTTGAGGACACGGGGAGGGGGAAGGGTAAGCCGGGAAGAAGTGAGAGAGTGGCATGGACATATATACACTACCAAATGTAAAACAGATAGCTAGTGGGAAGCAGCCACCTAGCACAGGGAGAACAGCTCAGTGCTTTGTGACCACCTAGAGGGGTGGGATAGGGAGGATGGGAGGGAGACGCGAGAGGGCGGAGATATGGAGATATATGTATATGTATAGCTGATTCACTTTGTTATACAGCAGAAACTAACACACCACTGTAAAGCAATTATACTCCAATAAAGATGTTAAAAAAAAAAAAAGTAGCAGTGTGGCCTTCCAACCTCAAAGTTCCAGTTCTATTTGTTAGTCTTATCCTTTTAGAGCAGGATTTCTTAAACCTTGGCACTAGTGATATTCTGGGCTGGTTGATTCTCTGGGTTGTTTTTTTTTGGGGGGGGGTGGGGGGGATCTGTACACTGTAGGATGTTTAGCAGCATCCCTAGCCTCTACCCACTAGATGCCAGCAGCATCTCCACAGATACAACCAAAAAAGTCTACAGGCATTATCAAATGTCCCTTGGGGGACAAAAATTGTCCCAGCTGAAAAATCACTGCTCTAGAATACTACTAAGTTCTTTGAGATCACAGCTCAAGTCTTCTACTTCCTTGTAGCCATACAGAAGCATACCCAAAGCCTCAGTACATAAGTCACTCGATACATTCTTATACTGAACTGAGCTGAAAATGCTCCTTGATATACAGAAGAAAGGCCCTCATAATCACCAAAGGAATCAATCAACAAATATTCCTTTAGTTCTTACGAAGTTCAAGGCCCAGTTTCCCACTGTTCGTCTGATAACTTCAGAAAAGTACCTTAAGTGGGATGTTTGAAGTAAAATGGGCAGAACTCCATACTACTACTGAGTAAAATCAGTACATATTTACCATGCATCCTTTATGTGTGTGTACTGGGAATGTCCACCATTGCTTAGAGAGGGCTTTCTGGTTTCTACGTGTCCCAGCTGAGGAAGGAAGGAAGGAAGGGAAGGGGAGGGAGGGAAGGAAGGAAGGAAGAGAGGGAGAGAGGGAGGGAGGGAGGGAAAGAAAGAGAGAGAAGGAGGGAGGGAGGGAGGGAAGGAAAAGAGGAGGGTAGAGGAGGAAAAGAGGGGAGGGGTGAAGAGAGAAAAGAGAGGAGAGGGAAGGAGAGGGGAAGACAGAGGGCAGGGGAGGGGAGGGAAGAAACAATATCCTAAGGCTTCCCCCAGCCAATCAGGGTAATGAAGTCAACCACCCTCCTCGTCCTACTTCACACTGCCTCACAGAATTTATTCATGTGACCTGACTCAGTCCTTCATCCCCCCAGAAGGACAGAGGTCCCCTCCAAGAGGAGACAAGTAGATGCAGGAAATGGAAAGGCCCAGCTGGGTGGTACCTGAGCAGACAATTAAAGACCACAATCTTTTTTTTTTTTTTTCCAGTATGCAGGCCTCTCACTGTCGCGGCCTCTCCCGTTGCGGAGCAACAGGCTCCGGACACGCAGGCTCAGCGGCCATGGCCCACGGGCCCAGCCGCTCCGCGGCATGCGGGATTCTCCCGGACCGGGGCACGAACCCGTGTCCCCTGCATCGGCAGGCGGACTCCCAACCACTGCGCCACCAGGGAAGCCCAAGGACCACAATCTTATGTTATCTTAGACATGCTTTCCAAGTGACCTAACTGCTTCTTAAATCCAGGGCCAGGGCCAGGACCAGGGTGGTGCAAGCAAGGGACCTAGAGCTCAAAATTTAAGAAGGCACACATTTTCAGGTACTGACACTGCACTTGCATGACCTTGAGAGTGAGTGCCTCCTTCAAGTTTGCGGCCAGAGCCTTGTTTGCTTCGCCCTAGTCCAAGTCCTGCTTATGTCTATCTTGCTCCCATCCTAGAAGATCCCACAGAGCCGAGGAGAATACACTGCTTTTTCGTCTTTCAAGTAGAATAGCAGAGCTGAGTGTATATTAAGCACTCACTGAGTACTTGTGAAATTGAACAGAATTCCCTCCAACAGGGTAATAAGTAAGTATGCTGACACACCAGCACCCCACGTGGAGATGCTTAAATGGGAGTGTAAACAAACACTTGAAAAATACCTAATAAGCATCTGAGAAAGAAGTATTCATTTTCTGGAGGCACCCAGAAAATCATGTTTAAAAAACTACACGTCAAAACAAAACAAAACAACACAACTACATGTTCAAAGAAGCAAGGTAAGTCCATTGAAGAGAAAACAAGGAAGATTCAGAGAACCGGACCAGGCATGGGGACACCTCTCCATGAGATAGTGGTCAAGCATGCTACTGTTTGTGCCTTTGTTTCTCCCGCTGGAAAATAGAGAATAGGTCTTCTGACTTCATTGTGGGGCTGTGAGGGTAATTATATTCCAAGTGACCAAGTGATTTCATTGCCTTTCTTCCTAGGAGAGTGAGTGTACTTTAAAAAGTACTCAGAGAGGCCAGGGAACTGAATGTTGGTGAAGCACAGGGCAGTAATGCTTTCAGAGCTCAGGGAACAGCTGAGAAGGGCAAGCACTAAGGCTGAGACTAGACTTGGTGCTTAGAGGACCATTTAGCACTTCGTGGAGTAGTACGAGCACCAGAGTGGAGTAATGCTGAGTAAAGACATGATTTGGCTTTAATATTTGCATGCTGAACGAAAAGATTTTAAAAATTACATCCAAATCAGTCTAGCTCAGGTGGAAAAACAAGGAAAGCTATAAGCTATACCTATAATTAACCTGTACCATCTGGAAATACATCTTTATTTGCTCCCTCATTAATGAGTTTATTCACCTGGGGCCAAGAAGTCAGTCAGTCTAAACTTGACCTGTCCAGAGCTCAGGTAGCTAATTAGGTAGGTTCTCAGGGCAAGATTACTGATTGATGGGCCCATTTCCCACTCCTAAGACCCATACACAGAATGTCTTTTTGCCAACCAATCACTCCCCTCCTAGGATGTCGCAAGGTCTCTAGTCATGTCAATCTACCTAGGTCCAGATTTGAAAGAAGTTAGACCAAGAATGTCAGGCAGAGGGCAAGAGAAAACTTTACAAAAATGGAAAATGATCTGCGGTTGACTGATATTTTCTCAGGTGCGAAAGACTCATGGTCCACCAGTGTAATACCACAAACAGGCCTCCTATCCCCCACAAATACTGATACTCGGTGGTCTCTGAGTCTTTACACAGGCTGGTTACTTTGTCCCTTCAGCCCCTCTCTTCCACCAAACCACATTCTGCCTTCATGCAAAATGCTAGACAAATCCTCCTGGATCCTGAAAGGCTCTTTAGACTGACCTCATTCACTGGAAAAAAAAAAAAAAAAAATCCTTTACTGCCTTGATGAGCATGATCCACAGCCCAGAAGCATTAGCACCCTGAGAGCTTAAGAAATAGATGCTTCAGAATCCATCCCAAGGCTTCCCTGGTGGCGCAGTGGTTGAGAGTCTGCCTGCCGATGCAGGGGACACGGGTTCGTGCCCCGGTCCGGGAGGATCCTGCATGCCACGGAGCGGCTGGGCCCATGGGCCATGGCCGCTGAGCCTGCGCGTCCGGAGCCTGTGCTCCGCGGAAGAGAATCCATCCCAGACCTCCTGAATCAGAATCTGCATTTAATAAGATACCTAGGTAATTCATATGCATATAAAAGCATTGCTATTACAATCACTTTGCTGTACACCTGAAATACAACACTGGTAATCAACTATAATCCAATATAAAATTAAAAGTTAAAAAAATAAAAGGATTATCATAAAAAAAAATTGCTATTGCATCCCAGCACTCACATCCACACTTTGTCCTACAGTCATATACCTCTATACACCTGAATTGTTTTTAACAACAGCTTTACTGAGATCTAATTCACATACCGTAAAATTCACCCATTTAAAATGTACTATTCAGTGCTTTTAGTATATTCAGAGTTGTGCCACCATCACCACTATTTAAATTTAGAACATTTTTACCACCCCAAAAAGAAACCACATACCAGTCAGCCATCACTCTCCAATCTCCCCCCAGCCCAAGGAACCACTGATTTACTTTTGATCTCTATCCATAGATTTGCCTATTCTTGACATTTCATATAAACGAGATCATACAATATGTGGTTTTTTGTGAATGGCTTCTTTCACTTAGCATGTTTTCAGTGTTGCAGCAGGTATTGTAGTTCATTCCTTTCTATTACCAAATAATATTGTATTGTATGGATATACGACATTTTCTTTGTCCATCCATCAGTTGATGGACATTTGGGCTGTTTATAGTTTTGAGCTATTACAAATAATGCTGTTACGAACATTCATTTACAAGTTTTCGTGTAGACATGCTTTCATTTTTCTTGAGCATGTATCTAGTAGTGGAACTGTCTGGTCACATGTAACTCTATGCTTAACCTTTTGAGGAACTGCCAAACTGTTTTCCACAGCAGCTGCACCATTTTACATTCCCACCAGCAGTGTATGAGAGTTCCAATTTCTCCACATCTTCAACAACACTTATTGTCCTTTTGGTAAAAAGCATCCCAATGGGTGTGAAATGGCAGATCAATATGATTTTGAATTTCCCTGATGTATAATGATGTTGAACACCTTTTCATATGCTTATTAGCCATTCACATATC